TTCTCCCTCCTTCTCCTCCATCATCATCCCACCCCCTTGATTTTGCACCGCCAGCGATGCTCACCCCTCCTTCTCCCCACGGGTCGCCTTCACGATTTGCAGGAAGCCTGCGGGAGAAACAAGCCTGGGGAGCGTCCCTTCCGACGTCACACGCCGCTTCTCTTTCTATGGGCTCTCCTATTGGCTGGCCGGCCTGTTTCCTCACCATGTGCCTGAAGCCATGCCAGGCTCCTGGAAAACACATCTCATCTGCTTCCTGAGCCCAAAGTGAAGTGAATGGCTGCATCGGGTGTTTATGGCCACTGAGTGAAAGGGGTTGTTGTCACCTGTTGTCAAGTCGCCCTCATCTTGTGGCGACCCTGTGAATGAGCGACTGTCCTGTCCTCAACGGCCCTGTTCAGCTCTTGCAAACTCAATCCCGTGGTTTCCTTTAGAGAGTCGGTTCATCTCATACTCCGTCTTCCTCTTTTCCTGCTGCTGCCTTCCACCTTTCCCCAGGATGATTTTTTTCCAGATAACTCTTTATCTTCTCAGGATGTGCCCAAAAGGAGGACAAACTCGAATTGAACAATTTTTGCCTCCAGAGAGAGTTTGGTCCTTTCCAGCTTCTCAGACCACAATAACCCAGTACTCTTATATGTGGCGGATCTCTTTCAGCAGAATTGCTGGTGCTGCTAATTTATAGCTGCTTTCCACCTATATGTGTGATCAAGGATAATAGAGCAAGCCTCTGACCCCCCCCCCCCCCCAGGAGTTTATGGCTAAAATTGGATGGGCTGGCCACCAACCAGATCTTGGTGAAGGAGCCCTTACCATAGACAGGGCTCGCCTGACACATAAACATTTCTAGCAAAAGCATCAGAGAGCAGGTTAAAGCCACACTGGGCTGGCCACCAACCAGATCTTGGTTAAGGAGCCCTTAACAAAGATAGGGCTCGCCTGAAACATAAATATTTCCAGCAAAAGCATCAGAGAGCAGGTTAAAGCCACACTTTTCTTTGCCTGTGACTTTGAGCCATTGGAAGCCTGTCACCACCTGCATACCGTTTAATGCCTCAAAAACTCATTTTTCTAAACTGGAAGTGGAGACATACTGACTTCCAGATTCCTCCTCCCCCCCTCCCCCCGTAGTCTTTTTCTTTTGTGGGGGGGGGGCAGGGAGAGTCATTTTGCTGTTTTTGTGCGGGCCCCAATAAATCCGAGGTGGAAAACTAACCTGTAGGGTTGTGACAGTTGGTCACTTCTATCCTAGCAGAAAAATGTGTAAAAAGATAAGTACAGCACTGTAATAGCTGCATGCAGAAACGGCCACAGAAACACCTCACACATTTGCTTTAATTTATTTTTGTTTTTGACCTATATTATTCAAACTTCTGAATCGCTTCTAAAATTACTCCTTTCCCTTGTTTCAGAATGCAATGCAGTAAAACAGCAGTTTCCAATCCCGGGTAACGGGGGTGCTGAAATTCCCAGGGGCCTTTACCACCAGCATTGCTGGCTCAGGTTTCTGGGGGTTGCACAACCAAAGAATCCCAGGGCGACCCAAGATTGGAAACCACTGTAAATAAAAGAATCAAGTATCTTCTTTTACCAAACTCTTTAAAATGCAAACGTCTGGGCCTCTTTATACAAGCCACCAGCAAAACCAAAATCCAAACTCAAGTACTAGAAGCTGAGATGGCGACACGCCTGGTCGTAGTTGCGTCACCATCAAACCATTGTTTATTTCACTCCCAAGAAAGGAAGGCATGGGCGCTGGAGGGAAAAACAACAGCTTGTATTTGACACATTAGCCACATCACAGAAGGCACAGGCCTCCAACACTTTAATAAGTTACATAATAAACCTCAAGCTGCATCCAAATAAAAGGAACAAGCATTATTTTATACACTCTAGAAAAGAACAGGGTATAATTACAGTGTTAAAAGTTCTCTGGAATTAACATGTGGAGTCAAAACTAGGATTTCAAATGAGAAAGGTAAATACATGAAGACATTTTACAGTTTAAAAAAAGGCTATTTGTGGTCCACTGCAGTTTGTAAGGGTATGTATACAGCTGCAGCGTAGGTATACTTTTGAAGACTTCTGTGGAAGAATCTCACATTGTTTAAAGCAACAGGTAACATTTCCGTTGGAGGACACTTCTGGGTCACTTAAAACCCTGTGCTGCTTCAGCATTCCTTACTTTCACCCTCACATTTTAAAATAAGATTTGTCAAATCAGCCTATGTCACGATCCATGCCTTTCATCTCTAGAATATGAAATGAGCTGTTGAACACATTCTCTGTTCTCTTACAAGCCTTTATATGTTTAGTTTTTTCCTTTAGAGTAAGGGCTTCAGTGTTATCAAAGGACCAAGATAAAAAAAAAAATCAAGGTCCAAGCCCAAATATTCTAATTTGTCTCAACATAAGATACTTACTTACGTTAATTCATTTTTGCTTTGGAAGCTGCCACCACCTTTTTCACCTTATCCAATAACTTATGCTTAAATCCTGACAAATAATGGTTAATCTTAACTGTGTTTGGGGGAAAAGCCACTCCCGTAATGTTGTTCAAATTCCTGGCATATTCCTCTCCGTCATGGTTAAATACTGACCACAGTTATAAGGTTCAGATAAATGACTCATATGGTTTATATCATAGAAAATTCCTTTCTCGTTTAATACAGCTTTACTGACTGTGCTTTCACTCTACATACAACATGGATATAAGACATTTTTAAACACGTCTTTATTTGACATGAATTTTTTCATGCCTCCTCAGGTACGCCTTGCTCCTGAAACTTTTCCCACAGACGGCGCATGGGTGCGGTTTTTCTCCCGTGTGAATTCTCTCGTGGTGAATAAGGTTGGATCTTCGATTAAAGCTTTTCCCACAAACCGAACAGGCGTGCGGCTTCTCTCCGGTGTGGCTTCTTTCGTGCGAAGTGAGGCTCGATTTCTGTTTGAAGCTCTTCCCACAGGCTGAGCAGGAATATGGCTTCTCCCCTGTGTGGATTCTCCCATGGATGATCAAGTGCTCCTTACGACTGAACCTTCTGCCACAGACTGAGCATGTGTACGGTTTCTCCTGGGTGTGGATTTTTTGGTGTTCGGTATAACTCGTTCTGTGCTTGAAACTCTTCCCGCACAGCGAACAGGTATATGGTTTCTCTCCCGTGTGAATTCTCTCATGAATAGCCACCTGCGATTTATTACCAAAGCTTTTCCCACAAAGTGAACACGAATAGGGTTTCTCCCCAGTATGTGTTCTCACATGTCCAAGAAGATTAGCTTTGCAGCTAAAACTTTTCCCACAGATGGAGCATGTGAAAGGGGTTTCTCCGGTGTGGATTCTTTCATGACTAGTGAGGTTTGATCTTTGCTTGAAGCTTTTATCGCAAAAGGAACAGGTATAAGGTCTTTCTTCTGTGTGAGTTCTTTCGTGCGAAATGAGGTTTGTTCTCCCACTGCAGCCTTTCCCGCAGACGGCACATTTATAGGGCGTCTCTCCTGTATGGACGCGTTCATGTCGGATAAGGCTCACCTTGTGGATGAAGTTCTTGCCACAAATGGAACATGTATAGGTTTTTTCTTGGGTGTGGGTTTTTTCATGGCTAAGAAGGTTTGATCTTTGGTTAAAGCTCTTCCCACAGATGGAGCATATATACGATTTTATTTCACTATGGCTTCTCTCATGAACAGCCAAGTAACTTTTCCAGTTGAAGCTTTTCCCACAGACAGAGCAGGTATACGGTTTTTCGCCTGTATGAGTCCCTCTGTGTCCCAAAAGGCAATCTTTGCGACTGAAGCTTTTCCCACAGATTGTGCATTTGTATGGGATCTCTCCTGTATGAATTCGTTCATGCTGAAGAAGGCCAGAGCACTGACTGAAGTTTTTGCCACAGACTAGACAGGTAAATGGTTTCTCTCCCATATGAATTCTTTCATGTCTAATAAGGCTTGCTTTGCGACTAAAGCTTTTCCCACAGACTGAACACCCATGTGGTTTTTCTCCTGAGTGGGTAATCTTATGTGCAATAAGGCCAGAGTTTTGACAGAAGCTTTTACTGCACACAGAGCACTTATAAGGTTTTTCTCCCGTATGAATTCTCTCATGTCTAATAAGGAGTGCTTTACGGCTCAAATTTTTGCCACAAATGGAGCATGGATATGGTTTTTCTCCTGTGTGGGTTCTGTTATGGCTGATGAGATGAGATCTCTGACTGAAACTCTTCCCACAGACTGAACACATATATGGTTTCTCCCCTGTGTGATTTATCTTGTGCCTAATAAGATGCGATCTCCGCAAGAACTTTTTCCCACAGATCGGGCAGGTATAGAGTTTCTCTCCTTTACGGTTTCTTCCGTGGGTCATCAGGTAATATCTCCAACCAGACCTTTTCTCCCCATCTAAGCGTTTGTAAGTTTCCCCTCCTTTCTGAAGTACTCTCCCAAACTTGTGTGTCATCTTTTGCAGTCTGGGTTCGTTAATGTCACCTCCCACAGAAGATAAAGCCTTCGTCATTCTCTTGCCTAAGACATTTCTTTGGAGCCTCTCTGCTCTGCCTTTGTTCACAGAGAGGTCTGCCTTTTTTGGATAGTCGAAGAGTCTTCCTCTGACAATTCCTAATTCCTGTTCAACGCTTTCTGACGGCAGGCAGTTTTCCACTTTCATAGCTCCATTGCCTGTTTGAATAAACAGATAATTATAACACAAGGAATGCTCTGAACAAATATTAATGAGTACTATACTATGGCCACGCCATCTATAGATCTCTAGAAAACCATTCACTAAACAGGGTAGGTTAATCTGAAAGAGAACGTATTAGCTTAGGGTCTCCAGTGGGTTTCATGGCTTAGTGGGAACTCTATGGTAGACACAGATCTCCCACATCTCAGGCCAGGGCAGATCCCACCGAGCTCTAGTGGAGTTTAATGGTCTTCCTGGAGAGCGCCTGTTACAAACTCCAGCTTCCCATCATGCCAGCAAAGAAGAGCATCCCAAGAAGTTCGGTTTCTTCAAACAGGAACTGGATACTTCTATGCGCAGGTCCCACAGAAGTCCATCTGTTCATGCTTGAGTGACTGGGCAGATGGAACACGAATTGTCATGAATTTGATTATGAAAATTGTAAAAGTAGAATAGAGATGGATTTTGTTTCCTAACAGCAACAAAACAACTAGAAGCTGACTGATGTCCAGGTGTTAATTAGGAAGAAAAAAATTGTACAAGGTCAGTTCTTTTTCCAGCAGAAGAAAAAAAATCAACAAGAACAAGATGACCCTTACCTTATCAAAACTCCAACGGACAAGGACACAACGGCTTAATTTAAGAAAGATGGGCGAAGAGAGAAAAGGAGGACGGAGAAGAGGGGTGAGGGGAGAGAGTTTGCTTTGCTTTCACGACAGCCAGAGACGACACACGGAGAGAGATGCATCTGGCAGAACTTTAATTTGGAGACTGCGTAAGAATGTTAATTTAAGATATAGCTAGACTGTCTATTGTTTTGAAGGCTACCTTGTTTTAATAAAAGATAAAAAGACAATTTGTCTGTAAGTTGGCTCCTTGTTTAGACCACAGCTACTATGGTAAAATTGGCTACTTTAAAAATATATTATTTGATGTAGGCCGCGTTTACGCTACCAAATTAGGGTCCTAAAGTAATAAAAAAGGAAGAACAGATCTTCCAGATTGTTTATTTAAAATCGAGACAGACTTGGGTGAAGGAGTGAGAAGTCGCCTAGGGCAAAGTTACAGGACCCGATTTTGCTGGCAATAGGGACGGATCATTCCGGACCCCTCTCTGTTTCGTGTAAAGGCAGTTCTAAGGAACACTTTTACGACACGAATCGCCCCAGCACTTCAACTATTACATCACATTGGTTCCTTAATAAATTCCTTTCATTTTAAGGACTCAAGCTGAGACTAACCTTGGATTTAGCACACAGGCTTTTTTTTTGGTTCAAATCAACATTTGGGGCTATTTTTACATGAATCGGTGGAGATTTAGTGAGTCCACTCCTTCATAAATTCTACCGATTCAAGTGGTTTTACTCTAGATTTTTTAAAAACAAATAAAATTTTATTTAAAAAATCACTACAAAGCAAACAAATGAAAAACACCTAACAATCAGCAATTACAAAAAGAAAAGAAAAAAAGAAAAACTACTAAATTAAAAACAAACCCTCACCCCTTTTAGGACAGAGATTCCAACATCGTTTGTATCTTGGATTTCTCCAATTGGTTTCCAGTTGTGACTTACTACACAAACAACAGGATTTTAATCATAGTGAGAGGCCTTTCCCTCGGTCCCACCACCCTCACAGGTGCACTTGGTGGGGACACAAGAGAGGGCCTTCTCTGTTGTTGCTCCTAGACTCTGGAACTCCCTGCCACTAGAGGGCAGCCTGGCCCCATCTTTGCAGTCCTTCCACAAGCAGGCAAAGATCTTTCTCCTCAGACCGGCCTTTTCTGAAATGAGAGCCTGTCTAAGAGAGGTTTTAAAACTTGTCATGTATTTTCATTGCTTTAAATCTGTTTTAGTAATGCTCTTACCTAACATTTTAAGTATGTTCATTTAATTCTTTTTAAATCTTTGAATGATTTACTGTTTCGAGTCTTTAATGTTGTGTTTTAACGATGTAAGCCGCCTTGGGTCCTTTTTAAAGAGAAAGGTAGGGTAAAAATATTTTAAAGAAATAATGTTTTAAATGGTTGCAAACCAAGATATGTCTGAGACAATCAATGCACTTTCGTTTCAGTCTTACCTGAGTGGAAGGCTGGGACTGCCGCATTTTCCTCAGATGCCTGGAAGTCTGGCAGCCAAGTCTCCTCTTTTACTTCGACTTTTATTATTATACCAGGGAACACTATTTAGAAAAAAGAAGTAAAAGATAACAAAGATGAGGTCAATCAGCGATGGTTTCCTAATGTCTGCAAGGCAAGTTTGACTGGTTTTATTAAGTCAGTGGTTCCGAATCCTGGGTCACCCAGGTGTTCATAGACTGCAATTCCCAGAAGCCTTCACCACTAGCTGTGCTGGTTGGGTTTCTGGGAGTTGCAGTCCGAGAAGACTTAGATTATCCAAGGTTGTGAACTACAGTGGTGCCCCGCATAGCGACGATAATCCGTTCCGGGCTTGGCTTGGTTAAGACTTCGATGAGAGGCCACCAAGAAAGTTTTGGTCCTGTACTAGGAATATATATAAAAGGTTCCTGTTATCCAAGGTTTCTGGGATGGGGGAGGCTTAAATTATCTTAAATAATAGAATATATATAAACACATACATTTTCTTCTCAAAGAAAAAGTACTTTTTGTTTTGTTTCTGTCACAAGGGAATGGAAGTTCTTTGGCAGAGTGGTGTGGAAAGATATAAGAGGCCAAAAGTTGAGAATCACTATTGAGCAAAATGGACCAAATGAATATAAAGCCCCTTCTTATGTTCCTATAAGTGGTCTATGTATGCACAAAGCAAGATCAAGGGTCAGAGGAGAGAGAGAGGGATGCCTCTGTCAAAAGGAAGCCTTTAGTGTGTGAGATCAAAACCTGATTTGAATTCCAGATCAGGGAAACAGCCCCTCACCTGACCCATCAGCAGCAAGATTTGCATCTTCCTCAGATCCTGGGTGGTCCAGGACCCCAGGCACTTCCTCCTCCTGCTCTTGCTTTATTTCAATGTCAGCATATCCTAAATCAAAAGGAAGGAGGAAAAGAAGACGGCAAGAAAAGAAAAAGAGGTAGTGAACCAAAGTGTTCAGTTGTGATATTACAACAACCTATGCTGGAAACAGAGCATCACTCAGTGGTAAGAGTTTTGTTTAAGAACCCTTGGTTGCCTATTACGCAACTCCCACCAGAGCAGCAGTCAGTTGTAAAAGCCCTCTCCTCCACCGTGCCCAGCCGACCCAAAATACATCTGTCTTGCTTTTCAGCTGGGAGATCAAACGAGGATTCAAGACCAAAAACTCTGCTCATAAAGGAAAGAGAATAATTTGCAAATGAATTACAACACGTTTATTAATAATTAGTTACCTCCTCATTGAATCGTACTCTGTTCTAAGGTGTCTCACCCCAGAAAAGAAAAGAAAATTATAGCTGAAAATTCAAAAGAAACTCTAAGAGCTCCCACTCTGGCAACATGCATGCAGGCCAGTGGAAGAATTGTATGTGACATTGTACGTAACATTTGTTTGCTAGCAAAATGTTACCTTTCCCAGAGTAGAAACGCCGTTTTGAAAGAAAATGCCTGTATTTCAGAAAAAGCAGCTAAGCTGGTCTATGCCTCTCTAATTTAAAACCCCTATCATAATAGGTTCTCAATTATTTGATTCCTGGAATGTAATCAAAGAGCTCAGAGCACCTAGTATGCATTCTCTGTGAGCAAATGTTCCTAATTCATGTCTGGTTCAGACCCTGGAGAGAACCTGCTCTGTAACTCCGCCTAGAGAATTAACGTCCTAACGTGTTAAACCTTTCCTGTTTGTTAATGTTAAAACCTTCTTCTTTGCTGTAGGTTTGCTTGCCATCATGATTTGCGATCCTCATATTTCTTTTTCTCTCTCTCTCCTTTTAATCGGATTACTTTTCTGAATGGTTTCATTTTGTTTTATGGCTACCTTTTATGGTTCATTATTCTTCTTGCATATTGCTATTCTTATTTATTGTTTTGTCTGGGTCCATGGATGGACGGACGGATAAGCTGCCTTGAAGATATGAGAAAAGGCAGCGTATAAATATTGGCTACAAGCTTATCGGTATTTCGGTAAAACTTGTGGAACTAGTCGTAGGTAAAGGCGGCTAACTGACGGGGTGCTGGAATATAATATCTTGATCATGATCCTGGTGATGCCCCTGATCGATGAGGTGCTGGCCTGAATCCTATTTGCCTAGTTAGATTAGCCTCCACAAATTACCCAAACCTTATGTGAACCATTAGGGTAGGAATGAACTGTTAGATAGCTCAGTGGTTCTGGCTTGTGGAGCCGGAGGTTGGGAGGGAGGGATCTTGGCCTTAATTCTGCCCCTTACCTGAGTCAATAATAGGGAAGGTCTGGGAGTTTAGCACCCATGGCTGCTCTTCTTGTTCCAGCTTGATGATCACCTCAGGAAATTCTGTTCACAGAAAGGTACGAGGACTGTGGTTAGGTGTGACAGTGGGTCATACAGGGCAGACAAACAATCCAATTGATACCTGCACACACGTCCAGTACTCAGTTGACTCCGTAAAGGCTGAGTTCCTTCCTGCTCTCCTTACCTGAGTTACACCCTGGCAGAATCTCCTTCTGCTCCATGACCAGCGGGTCTGGAAACCAGGGATCTCCCTCTTGCTCAAGGTGGGAGATCAAGCTGGGTTTGACGGCTGAAAGTCCTGCTCAAGAAGGAATGAAAAACAAGCAGTTGGACAGACATCAGGGCCTAAAGTGTGAACAAAATAGCTCAAAATAGCTCAAGCCGCTCAGACTTTGATACTGTGTTGTCGGACACCCTCCCACAGAACTCTCATCAGCCCTTGCCAGGATAGCTAATAATGAGGGACCAGGAGAGGTGCAGTCCAGCATCAGGAGGACTGCACTCATGGGTTATCCACATGGCTGCTTGCCTTCCTCAAATCCTCAGTATATTTACTGATTTAACAGACATGGGTAACTCCAGTGTGTTCTAGTGGGGCATTTCTATGCACATGAATTATGTTAAAATTAAAATTAAACCATGTTAGGGTTTTCCTCCATCCCTAGGTGTCAGGGCACTATCAAATGATGATGTCATGAGGAAGGGGGCAAGAGCACCTGGGGAAGCCTAAATGGCTAGATTTTAGCACACAGGTTTTGGAAACAGGGACTGAGGCTCCCTACCCCTGCTGAAAAGGAATGTCAGAAAAAGCAGAATGAGAAAAAGCACTTTTTCTATTCCAATTGGGGAAAGGTGGCCTCACCTATAGCAACCACATTTTCATAATTTTCTTGCATGACATCCCGATATAAAGCCTTCTCACACGGCTCTAGCAGAGTCCACTGGCTTTTTGTGAAATACACAGCAATGTCCTCAAAAGCCACACTGCTCTCCTGTAAAAGGAAGAAGATGATGATGATTATGGAGGGAAATGTGTGAAATGAATACTGAGGACTTGGTGGTTGCTCCATAGGTTTTGTTTTGTTTGGAACCATACTCTTCACCATGAATCTGTTCAACTTTTTATGTAAATACTTAATTTTTTTGGTCCATTTTTTATTTAATAAACCTTGAGGAGCAGCACTGTCTTAAGGTTAGTGCCTGACTTTCTTAAATCAGTAAATTCACTGATGGGTGTGTCCTCTATTGTATATACAAAATGGTTGGGGGGGCAGTACCATATTTATAACCAGATAAATATGTAATGCAAAGTGGAGACCCAAATTTAAGATGCACACACACACGGCTATCACATTACATACATAAAACAGACTAGATGAAGTAAATGAGTCTATGAAGCTTACACAGTTAAATTGGGGACGCCTGGTGCAGAAAGTACACTATGGACCAAATTCCTGAGTCTTCATATTAATCTCCTGCATTTGGACACAGATAAGACACACAGATAAGAGGGACGTGGTGACGCTGCGGGCTAAACCGCAGAAGCCTGTGCTGCAGGGTCGGAAGACCAAGCAGCTGTAAGATCGAATCCATGCGACGGAGTGAGCGCCCGTCACTTGTCCCAGCTCCTGCCAACCTAGCTGTTCGAAAGCATGCAAATGCAAGTAGATAAATAGGGACCACCTCGGTGGGAAGGTAACAGCGTTCCGTGTCTAAGTCGCACTGGCCATGTGACCACGGAAGATTGTCTTCGGACAAAAACGCTGGCTCTATGGCTTGGAAATGGGGATGAGCACCGCCCCCTAGAGTTGAACACAACTGGACAAAAATTGTCAAGGGGAACCTTTACCTTAAGACGCACTGGTTCTGCTTGCTGGAGATGCTGGGAGCCCTGCCCCCCCAAAAAAGTAATTTTGCCAAGCTCTGAAACTGATTACCTTCCACCTAGCAAATACCTGGTTGAACAACCGGTGTGGAGCAGAACAAACCAGTGCCCTCCGCTCCATTTCTGTCTCTACCCAGAAGCCTCCCTGCCCAACTCCACCCCATACCTGAGAGGCCCCGGGTGCTGTGGCCAACAGTTCCATTTCCCCCAGGCAGAAACACACAAGGGGGTAATCTGGGGATGTTTCTTCTACAGGATGTGAGAGCTGAAGAAAGCAAGAGGCAAAGTTATATTACGTGATTTAACTGTCAGAACCTTACCCTATTACAAACAGCATGAGGACTGTTTGCGATCTGAAAGAGATGATGAAAAAGTCCAGGCACAGATTCAGTTGTTCTACTTTTTAAAAAACTTAACAGCTATAAACTAAGTTTTTGAGGAGAAAGAAGAAATCCAATGAGAACAAGGTAGAAGAAACCCCTTGGCCATTATCCATAGATTCTGTTCTAAGGAGGTTGAGGCAGTTAACTGTTGGAACTCTTTGGCAGTTGAAGAAGAGACCTTAGGAGTGGGTTTGAACCCGGATGATTCAGTAGGACTTTGCTCCAATGAAGGAACTCAAGTTTAAGATATGTAAAGTAATAGTTATGTATGTGTTCCTTTACACATATGTAGTGGGCTTTTTAAACTGCTGAGTAAACAATGGGCCTCCATCTTCAGAAACTGACCACCAGTTTGGAATGAGACCTTGTGTCATTGTAAAAACATTTCTGCCAATGTGGGCACTTGGGCCTAAGCCATGCTGTTTCCTTTAACCATCTTCTGGCAGAAGACTTCAAGAAAATGTGGCAAAAGGCCGGACACACACATCCACTACGGGCAAATGAGGGCAAAATACTTTAAGTCCAGTGAGAGTAATAATGCTAGCATTTACATCATCCTTTTAAAATGAAGATTTTTGTATGTGGCCTGCCAAATATCACTGGGCACCAACCAACTCCTTTTATCCCTAGAGAAGGATAGTGATGAGATATGATGATCGCTGGAAGTCAACCATATCTTGTAGAGCTATACAGATTTCCTACTTCTGTTTTGAGGTGCTCCAGTGCCTCCATATACATTGTTTCAGTAATGCTGAAGCACAGAACGCTCTGCTCCTAGGTTTCTCTGGCCTTATTAACACAATACTTTGAATAGGACATGCAATTTCTTCTCCTGTCTTTTTCTTAACGATTTTATTTGTGTAAAATAACAAAGACTCTTGTGGCACCTTAAAAATGAACACGATTTATTAAGCAAAACTTATGTAGACAGTAGCCTGTTGCAATCAGGATGCTGCACCATAAAGGAATCCTATGTATACAACTGATTAGGCATCCTTCAGTCTCAAGAGACTATGGCAACATGCTCTGTATGGAGGACTTGGAACAGCGTCTAGTGTGGCTGAGAAGGCCAATTTCGAGATTGACAATCCCTTTCCGTGTTGTGTCGACGCTGTATGCGAAGCTGGAGTGTCCTCTCCAGAGCACGAAGCCTGGGTAAATTAACACTGGCTCACATGAGAATGGCAGGGGGCTGGGCTACAAAGACAAGGAAATCGAATTGACGGCACCGTCCCATGTCTGTCCACACAAAAAGGAAATCCTACTGAGTTGTTTAAGGGGATTTTAAACAAAACCTCATGGAATTTTAGAC